TCCTTACTGTATCTGGCGGATTCTGTCAATCTGGAATCAACGTGCCTTCCTGCAGCAGACTCATAAATTCTTCCTCTTTGACCCCAAGCCCCTTCTGTTACTCATACCCACGGTGGCCACTCCAACCACCAAGTCACCTGCTTTCTCTACTATGCCCACTGGAGTTCACTCCACTGTACCCGTCTTCGTGCCAGCCATACCATGAATCTTGAATAACGACAATCCTTTGGTGAGTGCTGCATCCATATACCTTATCGAGTAGAGCTAACAATATGACTTCTGACTAGCTTTTTGACTACAAGAGTGCAAGTGAGGCATCCTGCAGGTAAGTCCCTTATCAGCCCTTACCATCGGCCACCGCTGAAACAACCAACATAACGACCAGGCAAGTCGTGTCAATAGGACGTATCCAAGTAAGCATATCAGGGATTATACAACTACCTATCAGCAACACCGATGACTGAGTCACGCCTAAGCCTCAAGCTCTTGATGTAAGTCATGAGCCCGGACTTTGGTTCTCCGCTGACAAGTGCTTATCAAACAATGCCGTCAGCGATCATCAGCCAGACCGGTGGGTTCTGAGCACCGCTACCAAGAACCTTTCCGATACACATATCGCCGTTATCCTGAATAGTTCGATGTTTTGATAGTGTCTCAAGCATGGCTACTAGGGCACGCCATCGCCGCCACAGGTCTGGTGCGGCTAAATGTCCGTTAGAAAAAGTACGCTTGCTCAGTGCTTCTGCCCCATCACCCCCCATTCATCGTTTGCCATGATCTTGGCTGGATACACGGACCATGTGTTGGGTCAGTCTGGAGTTAAGACTCGTCTCCGCAGAACGACTCTTTCATTATCTTAGCAGAGTCGTCCGTTATAGGTGCAGGGTGAGACTAGATTACAAGACCGTGAGTAACCCTCTTTATCAGGCACATGCTAACCATCTTGCAAAGCCCCTTGCCAAGACGCTGGAAGACATGACGTACAGCTCAACGAGCCTCGCCCGTGTCTCGCATCGTGCCACTCTGGCCGCGAAGCAATATATATTTCTTTGGAAACGGTTTCGAAGGTCGACGTGATCTAAATTGCCCGATCACTCCAGTCTTTCGCCTTACCCACTGGTACCGACTGAGAACACCAGCGTCTACTCCACATCATTGGAAAGCTGAATCAGCCATGCAACCAATATAGCGACCGGCAACATGCGATGCTTACTGAGGTGATCAAACCTCCATCTGATAAGCCTAGGTGTTGAGGGACCCTTCCACGGTGGGTCCGGCTTCCACGCCCGGGGATGGTATGAGTAAGAAGGATGCTGAAGGTCGATACGGTGATGCACAGATTTTGCTTCCTAGGGGCGGATGTCGATCGCCATGAACCGTCCAAGAAGATGACCACGGAGCACTCAGATCTACCACAGGGCTTATCGCTTTCTGCGGTCGCTCTCTACACCTTCCTCTACCCCTGTCAAATTGGTGTCGTTGTCTCCAGAGGGTACAGAGTCATCGCTTTCGACGACAGTGACCTTTCGGAGAGACATGCACTGTTTTGCAACAGCGGATCGCAGGCATATCGTTCATCGCATTTTGCAGGACCAGCGACAGCGCCAACTCCCTGCAGTCAGGCGATAAATGAATGAAGCGACCCTTGGTTAACTCCTAGACAAAAGGCTTTGCGTCACAATCGCCCAAGCATTGCGTCCATCCTGCCTCTGACAACTGCGCGAGACGTCTTCATTGGTAGCTTGCCATTTTCTGCCTCCACAGCGCATCAAAATCCGTGGTCCACCCTGCACATGACGTCCTTTACGACTGCATGCTACAACTGGGCGAATCAAACCATCCAACCAATTCTGCGTGACGTACTGGAAGCGTTCGTGGGACGACTCCTTTATGCAACGTCCGACGCTACCGAGGGAGGGATGGATACGACAATGGTCTGCGAGCCCGTGCCTTGAGCATTGCATTTTTGCGAAAGGGTCCCTTTTGTTTTTGCAGGCCCCTGCCCAGGATGAGTTCCTCGCCTTTGGCCTTTGGTGCCGGTGCTCCTTACTGGTACAGACCATATACCTCCTGACGGATGCAGTCATTCAGCTCCGTTGCCCATCAACATTTCGCCATCACTCGTGTAATCCGTGCCCAGTAGGACATGCCTTCGGGCACACGCCGAGCGCAGGGTTTCAGACTACGAGTGACTGCTACCTTGCAGCCTATCTTGTATCAACGCACACACCGTCAATGTCTTGGGGGATTTGAGAGCTGAATCAGTGTGCCAAACAAGACTACGAACACTCTCCGCCATGGATAAAGAGCTACTGTGCAGCAACATATGTCCTGAAAAGTTGTGAGGTTGAGGTTGATTAATTGTGAGTGAACCCTTTTCGACGAATGTGTACGAACATCTTCTGAAGGATGACTTGTCAAGTGCGGAATATCTCGACGGCACATGATGCAAACGCTCGAATTGTTCTAACGACCCACTTCTCATCCCACGAACACCCTGAATCGACGTGGATGAGTAGTACCAAACGAAGGCGCTTGGCATCAGACTACTCCGAGATGGGCACAACCACAGGACGCTCGTCCGGCAATCTCCCAGATGGTCCCGGTGGAGCGGCCATCCCAGTATAGCGAGAAGCACAGGCCCCTCAGTTGAGCATACCGCGTGAAGGGTATGTCGTCTCGACATTGGCACGCGAGCTCGGCCGCATGCAATCAATTACGGTTGCATGGCAATCCCGCTATCGTTTCAACGTCACATCTTGACGCCAGGTATTGCTCGCCAATGTGATACCTCCAGCAAAGACGCCAATTATGAAGACCGCCCTCACACTACACATGGGTGGCGGATGGTCAATGGCGACCAATGTAGATGCCATGCATTCCTGGTGCCCAAAATAAGCAGCCTTGGTCACGTTGACTGACATGGAGATCCCGAGGCGGGCGGGGATCATCATAAACATTGTCTGTTAAAGCCAGCAAAGGGGCACTATCCAGGCTGGGCAGTCCCAAAATGAGTTTATTCACTTTGGATTTGCGCCTGTCACCCGTGCTTCAATCGTCCGTCGAAACGCTGATCAGCCATCGGACAAACGTGAGTCAACGGTTCCTTTCCTGATCTATTCGCGGATGTGTGCCAAAAAAAAATGTGCCTCAATGCGACAGCCCAAGCATCTCACCAATGCCGCAGGCGTTTGACTGCCATATTCCGGTTATGCAGTTCCTTTGGAGGTACAGATCGCCAGTTTCCCAAATGAGAGGGCATGCTGAGCCACATGCTCATGATGGGCGTTGATTCACACCAATATGTTTGTCTGGCTCAGTTCAGAGCCATGGCTGGAGTAGGTCTTGTGGGCGTTGGCTTGCGGGCGTTGGCTTGTGGGCATTGGCTTGTGGGCATTGGCTTGTGAGCATTGGCTTGTGAGCATTGGCTTGTGAGCATTGGCGTGTGGGAGTTCGCTTGTGGGAGTTGGCGTGTGGGCGTTGGCGTGTGGGCGTAGGCGTGTGGGCGTTGGCGTGTGGGCGTTGGCGTGTGGGCGTTGGCTTGTAGGCATTGGCTTGTGGGAGTAGCCTTGTGGGAGTGGGTTTGTGGGAGTTGATGTTTGGAAATCGGCTCGTCGGAGTTGGTTGATGAGCATTGCATTATGGCAATTGGATCGTGGGCATTGATATGTGGGAATCGGCTCGTGGGAGCCGTTCGTGGAAGTCGGCCAGGAGTTAAGGAAATATCAGATACCTCTGCTTGAGATATGCTTCATAGCCCTTTCAGTCAACTCTCGCTGTAGTCCAGCACAGAGAGGTCCGAAGCATTTTGGGAGAGCTGACTAGAGCGAGCATAGGTTGACTCGAAACTTGGAGACCCATCAATACATGGGCTGTCCTGTCAGCCGGAAGTTACCAGAGCGAGTCGAGTATTGAGCGAAGTCGAGTATGAAGAGCCGTGAGAAGATTTTCGTGGCATGATGTCGACTAACCCATCTCAATGGCCAGTGTCATGTGTGGACCAACTCCACGGGTCGTCGCGTAAACAGTCCTGCCCTCGCGCCTGGGACGACCTCACCGCCTTTGCCGTCGCGTTGGATTAAGCACTGGTGGGCGGGCGTGCCAATGCCAACCATTCTCGCTTTGGAGACGCAACGCCGTGTTTCCATCCATGAACGCGCGAGCGCCGACACCGTTCTGCATCCTGCTCAACAAGTAGCTCAGCCGGCGAACGTTATAGTTCTTGCCAACCTGTCCACCTGCTGCGCGACCGACTTTTACCGATCTCCACGGACACTGCAGTTGTCGAGCGAATATGCATTCCAGGCTGATCCAGTCGGCATTTGCGATGACACGCTAGCAGATGCCGTCACCATGCTCTTGGTCCGGTCGAGAGAAGATGATACTCGGGACTTGATTGGAGGTTCAACACAGGGATTCATTTCATGCATGATGATGATGATGGTGATGATGATGATGGTGATGATGATGATGATGATGATGATGATGATGATGATGATGATGATGATGATGATGATGATGATGAATTCATTTGCCCGGTGTAGCTCGCTCTATATCATGCTGCTATGCGGGAGTGCTGTCGGACCTGCCGACAGCTAATAAGTGGTGACCAGCCCATTGGGTGACATCAAGAGGCTCACAGTCCGAGCCTCTCGATGGTCGCATCGAATGTAGATACAAAAGAACAACAAAGGAAGGCAGATGTGTAAGTGTTTAACCACTTCCACCGCATTAAAACGAACGTTTCTGGTCCCCACCGCCTTCACTGGACCCTGCTCCACCTATCCACTACCCCAAAATTCACTCTTCAAACATCCACACCCTTCTTCAACTTGTTGGCAGCCGCTTGCGCGCTCGTTTGACTCAAGGGAGTACAGTGGACCTGGCACTGTACCCCTGACGGTCTCCATTCTTCTTCTTACGTCACACTGTCCTCAGGGGTCATTCTTTCACCGTTTCTTCCACACCGAGAGCAATTGGATCTACAGCTTGACACTGGCTCAAAATCCCTGTTTGACCATGAAATCGGCCACGATATTGCGCGCTTCTGGGCGCGTCAGAAGTTCATTGCGACGAACGATAATCCCCTGTGCCGATAGGGCGCGCCGCATCCAGTCCCGCTCCTCTTGGTGGAGCGGGCACTCCAGTAGGACATGAGCCACTGTGGTTTTGCCTAGTTCGCATTCACACCGGGCCGTCTCTCGTCGGTTGATGCGGGTGAGATAGGCGCTTAGTCCGACCCGCCCCGTGCGTAGCTTCATCAGGATTGACGTGGTTGCTTTGCGAAGCCTGGACCAGTATCCGAGTGTTTTCTTTGTTGGTACTTCGATCAGTCGCCTGGTTGGCCGACTGGTCTTTTCTACCGTCCATGCTCTCTCCCACTCGACTTTCGCCTCTCGGCGCAACCGCCGTTTGACTGCAGCTGCGAGGCAGATGTATCGGTTGCGAGAGTTTAGCGGTTCTTCGGGCCCCTGTGCAGCTGCTTTGGCGTGTCTATCCACGATCTCGTTGCCCACCACACCTTGGTGAGCGGAATCTATCTAAGTTCGGTGTGAACGCCCTTGTTGGCCAATTGGCGGATGAGGTCCTGGCATCCCGCGAGATAAACCCGACCTGAGGGCATGCGCGGTCGTCGGAGCGCCTTTAGCGCCGCTTGGCTATCCGTGAAGATGACTAGGCCGTTCTTTGCCCGTGTGGGATTTGGCTCATTGCCACCAAGGACCGTTTCCAGAGCTATCTCTATAACCCGCAGTTCCGCGGAATATATAGTAGATGAGTCGTCATCACCCATTTGGCTTAGACTGACGTATTACCCAGTCTCATCTACTACTGCTGCGCCAACTTTACTTTCGATACCGTTTCCGTCCGTGTACATGATCAGGGGGTCTTTCTTCTGGGGATTTCCCCAGGATCTGGCTATGACGCTGCACAGCGGTGTCTCGGTCCTTAATGATCACATCTAGCGGTCCTTGCCACGGCGCCAGGACGAATGCCTTTCGACTCTCCCACTATCTCACGAAAGCGCCCGGGGGAGTTGTGAGACATCCGCCTTTTTTCCAGGTTTGCGCCTCCATGGGTGACCACCCCGCCCAGTCTCTCTCATCTGCTGGTCGACGTCGGAGCATCGTTGGCGGGACAGCAAAAACCGGCCCCGTTCGTAGCCTGATTGCTGTTTCTTGCACCAATCGGTTCATTTGGTTCGAGATGGGCGGTAGGTGAAGCTCTGTATTTAAAGTTTCTGCCGAGGTGGTTCTAAAAGCACCGCCGATAGGCATGCTGCCTGCTTTTGAATGTCCACGAAAGGGCGATACAGACTTCTTACTTTGGACTTGCTGATGAGTATGGGTCGGTACCACGCGGAGACGCCAAAGAGCATCTGCGGTATGATCACTGCTTGATAGATTCTGCGCATGGCATAGAGTGAAGCTCCCCACGTTGAGCCCGCCAAGCTTTGTAGGGCGTGGAGAGAGACGCTCGCCTTGGCCACGGCTTTCTCACGGTGGTGGTGAAACTACAGACCGGGACCCAGCCAGTAGCCTAGATATCGCTCGGCCGTCCTTGTCGCGGTCACGGTGTGTCCTCGTAGAGTAAGGGATGTGTATTGGGGATCTACCTCTTTGGTGTTCACAAAATGTATGAGTGCGTATTTCTTCGGGTCGAAGACTGATGCATGTTTCTCGGCCCATCGATCGGCTTTCTGGCATGCCGCCCTGAGCTTTCTGGTGGTTTCACGTTCGCTGTCGCCTTTGGCCATGAAGCCAACATCGTCCACCCAGCCATTGCTGGTGATGCCCGTTCCGCAGCCTTCCAGGAGGTCTGCATTGTAGACAAGATAGAGAATGGGCGAGATAGGTGACCCTTGAGGAATGCTCGTGGGGGTTGGAAATGTATCGGACATGCCTTCGGGCATGCGGATTCTCGTGCTTCGATTTGTCAAGAAAGCTTTTACCCAGGGGACGAAGTGTCCCAGGCATCGTTCCTTGAGGTTGTGCAGTAGACGTTCGTGCGAAACGTTGTCGTACGCCCCCCCGACATCTAGCATTAGTAGAGATACCACTGGCTTGCCTTTTCCCCACGATGTCTTGATTCGGTCGATGATGATGTGAATGGCATGGTCCGTGGATATGCCCCTTCGGCCACCGAGATGGCAGCGAAAGCTGGCGATCCATTGCACGATGTCGAGGGGGATTTTGCGCATGCGCAGACAATGGATGAGCCGTTTATGGGAGACGTTATCAAATGCACCAGATACGTCGATATTGAGCAAAGAAGCGACAGGATCATCCTATCGCCACGCTTCATACACCCGTTCTAGTAGCAAATGCAGAGCATGGTCGCACGAGCGTCCCACACGGCCTCCAATATGCGTTTCTGGCAGCAATCGATACTCGTCGACGAGGAAGCTGATCTGTGTGGCGATCACTGATTCAAGCGCCTTGCCGAGCGTGCAGAGCAGCGTGATTGGTCGGTATGCCTTCGGGACCTTGAGGCGTAGATAGACTTTACAACACGGTCTGCTATCATTGTTGGTAGAGTATAAGACTTAATCCATTCTGTTTAAATACCTACGTAAGTCTATACTAAAAGCCAAGCTAACTAGACAAACAATTATGACCACAGGCGGCCAAAGACCAAATTGACTTGCAAAAATCATGACCCCATAAATAGCAACCGGATATAACTCATGAAACAGGTTCCAACTTCTTTCTCTGTCCCATAATATCTGGATAAGGATAATCACAAGGCAAGCGAGTAAGCCAATTTCGGCCCCACATGACTGACCCGCACGCAAACGCATAAAACTTAGTGTGCAGAGAGCGATGTAGAAGAAGCTGAGGCTAAATTCTGTAGAAGAAGCCAGGCCATTCCGAGCATGCCCAATAGCGCCTTTGAGTAGGGTGAAGATGGAGATGGCTAGTGCTGTATTTGTTGTGAAATTTTCGTTGAACGGCTGGAAGTTGCCTGTGCGCATATAAGCAACTACGCCTGTGAGGAGCACGGTATAGATTATAGGGGTAAGGGGTTCGTTGATTGACTATGTCAGATAAGTAGTTAGACCAGTTTTGGTTTCTTCATGCTTTGCGTAGGAGTGCTACTTACCATGATAGCCTTTTTCCTGTGGAGATTAAAAGAGAGATATTCTTGAGGGACATTGATGGCAGTGGCCTAAATCCTAGAGCTTTGGTCCGAGGAAGCCCTAATGAATTGTGGATTCATATGTAAGCGATCGCAGACGTAAGCCTTAGGATCCACTGGTTCAAAAAGCTTGAAAATATTTGAGCTTAGCCAATCACTTTCTCTTAGCCAATCACTTTCTCGGGCAATACTTGCAGCCCCATTATGGACCATAGATCGGCATAGATGCTGACTAATCGACGGAGAATGATTGTCAGGGCTTTGGGAAATAGCGTGCCAATGCGAGATATAAAAGATCTGTCTTGAGTAACTCCGATTGTTCAAAATTCCCGTCCACGACCGTTCGCTCATTGGGGAAGTTCTTGGAGTATAGAAAAAGATTCGTATCAAGTCATACGTACTACCACTTTTGTCTCTTTTACAAAATTTCAAGGGCTCTCGTGCTCTGAAAAGTGGGGTATAACGCGCGTTAGGTTAAGACTTGGTGCAGTAATTCTCACTTTTCCAGCCAGTTTGCGTCTTCTGCCCTAATTCTTCAACAAATATAAATACTGCGTCCTGTTTTCCCTTCCGGTGAATCATGTTGTCAGTCTTCGCTTACTTTTCGCCTAAGGTGAGTGCTCATAGCTAAGTTTGAAACCATACAAGCTGCTTCAGGCTGAATAACTGACATCTGATTTCCTGGGTTTCTCATGAAGAGAAGAAAACCGTGATAATGACGACGTCGGCATACTTCAAATCCTCGATCTATATCGTCAAGGTAGCTTATGCGGGCTTCTGGGCTATATGTGCTGCAGTAGCCTCTAGCTCTGGATGGACAGCTCCCCCATGTCTCGTATCTTACTTCGGGAGCGCAACAGCACTCATGCTGAGCCTTGCTGTTGAGACGATTCACTACAAAAAGTCGAAACTCGAAACCCTTCCCGCGCGGGACTTGGTGAACTGGGGTTCCTCGTACGGCCATTCGTACAATCACTCATACATGGTCGCAATGCCTGAAGGCAACACCCTCTGGTGCACCGAGTACAATCTCTCTTCAATCGTTCCGCACAATCAATGGGTCAACGTTACTTATCTCAACACGGGGGTGACCACCGAGATGCGACACAACGATACGAATATTGAGCTTGATATGGAAGTCCCTGCGGTGGCGAGCTCCAGGTTCAGAAAAAGATCGACTGATCAGGACCTACGGCGCATTTGGGTTATCGCAGAGAAAATGGAAAAGATTGATTACTATTACGCTTCTAAGTACCACTATAGTTTTGCTAAGAAGGAGGCGAACGACATGTGGAGATTGGGAAGGTACTGTGATCATATCTATGACTGCAACAGTGGAGAGTGTTCGGAAATTATCTCCTCCGGGTTTACATTGAACAGTGAGAAGAAAACATACGAAAGGCAGTCTGTGAAAGGATGTGAGAGCTAAGAGGAAAGACGCATGTAGCATACCAAGAAGGGAGGCGCGATAAATGGGGGAAAAAAAGAAACCGAGGAGCAAGTCTACACATGAGAAAAAAAGAAAACAAGATTTTTGTTGGATCCCCTTTCCTAACCGGCCCCACTTTTTTTTCAAAAATTACGGAACCCTCGCAAGCGAGGGTCCATCACCCATCGACAAATGGTTCCCAACCGACAACTTTTCATCCCCATCTAGATTCTTTTTCATGATTCACAATGCTATAGCTATATTTTTCGTGCTTCTAAGACATTTTCCAGCGCATTGGTAGCTACATAATAATTCACTCAAGTTTGAACTATTTCACAAGTCGTCCTGCACGTCTGCAGTGGCGTTTTAATTCTCTCATAACCTTCTTCCATTGAGGTCGGAGTTTATCAGTCGCCTCTAACTCCGTTAATTTTTCCTCATACTTTTTCATTTTTTTCAAATTAGATGCAGCTATGATACCCCTTGATCTTATGCAGGATCTTTGACATGCCATACCGAGCATGGCGAGCAGCAGTCGCCGCGTGAGTTGCCACTTTTTTTTCGCGGAGCTCCTGTAATTCATACAGGTCAAGTTGCGCACCTTTGGATATCTTATTCAGGATCTTTTGCGATTTCTGCGAATTGACTTTAATAGAAGTAATTTTTTTTTCTTGAGCTTTAATCTTGTCAACCGTCTTCGGCGTGCTGAAAGATGTTGAATTGGTGGAATGAGATGAGAGTGTTGAGGGTTAGATTGGAAGCTCAGCATGATCATATTCCACTATTTGGAGCATATAAACTCAGGATCAACAGGCCAAACGCCTGCTAATCGAAATCCAAGTTTGATTGTGCTCGCCTTGAATGCTTTTGCACGGATTAAGTTGATTGCCCCCAAGAAATCTTGCTTTGTGAACTTGGAACAGCCTGTCTGGGTCGCATTTTCAATTGCCTCGCTATGATAATGCTTGTAGACACTGAAGACACCAACATCAAGCGGTCGAAGAAGATGACTAGTATGCGGAGGTAGAAAGAAAAAGTAGAATCTGCTTCTCTTGGCAAAATTTGACAGTTCATAGGTTAAATGAGAACTAAATCCATCGCATAGTAATAGTCTCCAAACACCGATTTTTCGCGCTCGTGTCATCTTTTCAAAGTGTTGAATCCATTGATAAGTAAGCTGGTCATTGATATAACCAGTTTCTGTGACTGCAATACGTCCGTCATGATTTAAATCATGGAACCAGCGGTGTTGAACTTGTTTCGCGGACAGAATGATAAGCGGCGGGATAGTGAATCCATCAGTTGATATTGCCTCCTATTGCCTCCACAACAGTGACATATTCATGGCTTGTATGCACTCCGGCTACTATTTTTCGCCGAGGCTCACGAGTTATAATCCATTGGTCCCTCCCAAACCCAATTTGGAAGCCTGTCTCGTCGAAACTCTAGATATCCGAAGGCTGAATGCAGTATGCTTCAATAGCTGCTTGGAGCCGGGTTAACCGTTCTTGACTAAGAACAAGATGGAGCCCATGATGTTGCTGGCAGGCTGACAGATTCGATGGAGGCAAGAGACAAGACCAATAGCGACAGCCATCTCTGTCGAGCCAGTCAGGGAATTCTGAATGCGGTTAGATAATGATATTGAGCCAGAAGAACGGGAGGTTGACATACGGGTCGCTGGATCTGAACGACGATATCGCTGCCAGAAACGACTGTCTGGTTGGGGTAAGGTAGTCCGATCGCCGCATTCTGGGCCAGAGCGAGACCGGCAAAGATAGCGAGGGAGGAGAAAGTTGCATGATGATGATGAATTGTAAGCAGCGAACACTATTATACGAAAGAAGAGAGAAGATGGAAAGGAAGGTTTATGAAGAAGCGAGAGTGATATTGAACCAGAAAAAACATTTTGGACCGTAATCTAGTGCGTTTATCCTCAAGCTCTGCAGTTTCCGTACTGGTGATGTGAGTTGCCCTTGTGATGATCCACCAGATGTCTGCATAGTGAAGCGTCATCATTCTTGTAGTATTTCCAGTTCCTCTTTGTTGGTACTTCTCGCCTAGGACAAAATTCAGCAGGTAGTTCGCGCGCTTCGATAGGGCGAAGTACCTTCGAGCATGGCAGTACTTTTACATCAGACATGCCTCCCAATTTCGAACCATTTCCCGAAATACCAACAACCTTAAACGTCTTCTTTCCTAGCTTTCCCATCATTCGACTATGGGATCTCGTTCCGTAAGTGGAGCATGCGCTTTGCTAATGCATCAAACTGTCCCCCGTTGGTATATTCTACCTTTTCCACTATTATTTCTAGGCCTAGGACCGCTTGTATGAGCCTCTCGTTTATGTCCCCTTCGATCTTTATATTAATCATAAACACCTAAGTCCGATACCATATCTTATCTAGGCGCTTTAAACCTTTATGACCTATATATATAAAGATGAGTTCTTTTCGAAACTAGGACGGGTGTTGTTGTTTGTGACCTTAATGATAGGCTATTCTATGCTATATGGAATTTAGCGGCAGTATAAGCCTAATCGCCTCTTCTAAGCGCCTGATATGGTTACTTATCTTACTTAGGGATACTCTATGCTATCTAGTAATGATATGAATATAGTGCACTATTTCAGATGTAGGGAGCTCGAAAGATTATTGGTAGGTAAGGAAAAGTGCAAAAATCGCGACGAATCTATATAAAAGAGAATGGACGGTACTGCTACTACTGAAAGGTACTATAGACACGCAATACTGGTGCTTTAGATATCAATAGGAAGATAAAAAAATCGTAATTGGATCTTTGAGTCATAATATGATTCCAGTCAATATATTGACCTATAGGCTTAAGTAGCTACTTTAGGTCGTATGTCTTATTCTGCGATAGGAGAATAGTAGAGGGAATCGAATTATGCTTAGCTTAAAAGAAATCAAGAAAAAACATTTCAGATTTTAACACTTCACTTCTTAGAAGTCATACTGTATCATTTATCTAGAAAATGCACTGACTGGGAGAAGCCCTTTTGAAAGCGCCCGCCGCAGACGGCCCACACAGCCTTCCAGATTACCTTAGGAAATTCCTCTATTCCAACCATTAGGTGACTGTCAACTTTGATATAATACCTGCGTCCCTAACCGCAGCTTTGACACACTACTCCACCAACTGACCATATTCTAGGTGTATGCTGGAAGCTGCCTGGCTAGATTATGCGTAAATTATCTATGCCTTGTAGCGGTCAGGAGCCTGTCTCTTCCTACCTGATTGACGAATTAATGGCGGGTCTGAGGATGCAGAGGCTATGGGAAGAAGCGGATAGTCTATGTGCTCCGACCCTTAACGTACCTAGTATGTACTTAGTCTAGCGATATCTAGCGCTATATCTATAGGTGTAGGAGAGGTCTCGTCAGAAGCTGTGGTATTGACCAGTGGTTGCTCGTTATATACTATAATCGGCAAACTCTGGTGATCTGCCGCGGAGGCCTGCCTTTGCCGTTAATTCCACGCAGCCTCCACAATTCGCATAATATAGTATATATTGAATAGTGTATCGCTTTTACTGTTCATTTGATTAGCTCTTGCTCCTTAAATTTCAGAATAAAGACGCTTAATATACCATACTACACAAGAAGATTTGCTTCTGGGCGAGAGACTTTAAAGCTACGACGATATATACCCTAAATGGACGTAAGAGGTGCATCGGCCATATTTCAACACGAGGGAGTTATTCTGCTCTACCCCTAGACAAATCCTATATATCCCGTCTTCTAAGCTTGATGTTGGGTGGAAATCTTTCAGGTAAAGTAGAGTCTCGTCCCCTTCCTCTCTTTCGATTGAAAGCACCGTTAGATAGTCCCCCGAAAGATCTAAGGGAGCCCCCTCCTCTCGTAGAAGAATCTCTGTTATTCTCTGACCGGAGAGATAAGAGGACTCTAAAGCTCTAGCATCTGTTGTGGGCTGAGTAGGGTTAGGCTGGCCGGGTGATATCGAAGGATTGAATCTTTTACGCTCTATGCTAAGGCGAGCCTCTGGCGATAGCTCTCCTTCCTCCCTAGGAGAAGGTTGTGACGTGTTAGCCTAGGCAGAATTACGGATGGCGGCTGTTGTCTATTGATCTCGGATATTGTCGACCTAGAGTTGACGGTGCTAGCGTGCGCAGAGGAAATAAGGAATAATATCCTGTAGTCTAGAAGGGAGAAGACGAAGGTCAAAGGGATCGCATAAGAGGTCGTTCAACTTTTTAATACCTATTTAGTGGACTTCCTCTGTCACGATGAGTTTACATAGTCTAGATTGCCTGGTAAGACCATAGTATGTTCTGTTCTCTTTGTCTGGCACTTCATAAATCGCAAAGGTATCCTAGAGATAAGATAGAGGTATGATGATAGTCGGGCGAATAGATGCTGCGAGGGCGATGATTCGACGAAATAGAGTATTATGAACGCCGATGATTTAAATTTAAAGTTAACTATTAGTCATAGCTAGATATCTTATAGTTCTTGATCATAAAGGTAACCATAGGGAGACAACGAATAATATAGATATATACATTCCTTAAGCCTAGTGCTGATGATACCACATATCATTCTCGATAGGAATATCTATAGGATGAGAAGTACTGCTTAAAGTGCATTAAGGGGTAATAAGGGCCACCGGCGCCTATAACCATAGTTCCGCCCCTAGGTCACCTTACCAAGATCCTAGGAATCCCGATCCTAGCCCTAAGATCTTAGGTAAGCGCTCTAGGAGCGCTGCACCTCCCAGGACTAATCATGATGATCCTTAAATTAACCGTGAGGGACATGGGATTTCGCTTCGTGAGTCCAGGAGCAGCTTATGCATTCATTAACGCACATACCACTCGGCGCAGTAATCACGTATATGATAATATGAGTGTCCGCCATCGTACCCTAGGCTGAAATTTGTGTTAATACATTATGTGTCTTGTCTTTTGAAGAGCATGTAAAATAAGCACTTTGCCAAGTCGGCATTGTGTGAAACCATAT